ATCCCGCCCACATCTGCAGGACTGATGTTCTCCAGGAGTTTGGTGAGGAGAGGAAACAGAACCTACAAACACACAACAAACACACAACACACACAACACACACACAACAGAGTCACACACAACACACACAACACACACACAACACACACACACACACACACAACACACACACACAACACACAGACAAGCAGAGACACAAGACGGCGTTTAGTTTAATACAGCGATTAAAACAGAGAAAAGACAGAAATAAACCAGGACTAAACCAGGACTAAACCAGGACTGAACCAGGACTGAACTAGGACTGAACCAGGACTGAACCAGGACTGAACCAGGACTAAACCAGGACTGAACCAGGACTGAACCAGGACAGGACTGAACCAGGACTAACCAGGACTAAACCAGGACTGAACCAGGACTGAACCAGGACTAAACCAGGACTGAACCAGGACTGAACCAGGACTAAACCAGGACTAAACCAGGAACTGAACCAGGACTGAACCAGGACTAAACCAGGACTGAAACCAGGACTGAACCAGGACTAAACCAGGACTGAACCAGGACTGAACCAGGACTAAACCAGGACTGAACCAGGACTGAACCAGGACTAAACCAGGACTGAACCAGGACTAAACCAGGACTAAACCAGGACTGAACTAGGACTGAACCAGGACTAAACCAGGACTGAACCAGGACTATATCAGGACTGAACCAGGACTGAACAGGTTTTGGGTCTTACCTTGTTGAAGCAGGACTCCCACTCGGCTGCGTCCAGGGTCTGCAGGTCGTGGACCAGCAGCGCCCTCTGCAGGTAGGTGAGCGCCTGCATGCGCACCTGTCGACGGGCGTCAGTGCAGAGCCAGGCGATACCTGACAGGTGCAGAGGACAGGTGAACCAGTGAGCGCGACAAATCTGATCAAACACTCGAGAAAAAAAATCTAGTTTCACACAAGATGTGAGTTTAACCCAAGTTTTTTTACCCAGTTCATTTTAATACATTCACTTTTATTTTGAAATCTGTGCTTTTATTTTGGTAAAGAGACGATAAAAACAGACTCACGCAGCTCAAAAACTAAAAAACTACTCGTACAGAAGCAGCATCTGTGTGTTTACATTTGTACATTTCATTTAAAGTTATTTGTGAAAAAACAGATTTTTCCGTCAGAGTCTGATCGACGTCGTTTGGACGAACTTAAGAAACTTGGTGGAACCAGTAAATTTGATTCAACTGATTTTCTTTTAATTATTATTGTCACATTTTAAAATTGGGAACAAGTTGAATTTGTGACACTGGGTCAAATGATGCAGCCTCATGAACACGAATGTGAAATTATTACAAGAGATTTAATAAATAATAAATAAAATAAATAAATAAATCAGATGGTTGAGTGTTTTTTTGTATTTTTCTCTAGTAGTTTCTCTGTTTTTATGAGACGAGCTTTAAATATGAAAAACCAGGTGATACCTGACAGGTGCAGAACGACAGGTGATACCTGACAGGTGCAGAACGACAGGTGATACCTGACAGGTGATACCTGACAGGTGCAGAACGACAGGTGATACCTGACAGGTGCAGAACGACAGGTGATACCTGACAGGTGATACCTGACAGGTGCAGAACGACAGGTGATACCTGACAGGTGATACCTGACAGGTGCAGAACGACAGGTGATACCTGACAGGTGCAGAACGACAGGTGATACCTGACACGTGCAGAGTGACAGGTGTACAGTGACAGGTGCAGAGTGACAGGTGTACAGTGACAGGTGCAGAGTGACAGGTGCAGAGTGACAGGTGCAGTACAGTGACAGGTGCAGAGTGACAGGTGTACAGTGACAGGTGCAGAGTGACAGGTGAACAGTGACAGGTGCAGAGTGACAGGTGCAGAGTGACAGGTGACAGAGTGACAGGTGACAGAGTGACAGGTGACAGGTGCAGAGTGACAGGTGTACAGTGACAGGTGCAGAGTGACAGGTGAACAGTGACAGGTGCAGAGTGACAGGTGCAGAGTGACAGGTGTACAGTGACAGGTGTACAGTGACAGGTGCATAGTGACAGGTGTACAGTGACAGGTGCAGAGTGACAGGTGTACAGTGACAGGTGCATAGTGACAGGTGTACAGTGACAGTGCAGAGTGACAAGTGCAGAGTGACAGGTGTACATTGACAGGTGCATAGTGACAGGTGTACAGTGACAGGTGTACAGTGACAGGTGCATAGTGACAGGTGTACAGTGACAGGTGCAGAGTGACAGGTGCAGAGTGACCGGTGTACATTGACAGGTGCATAGTGACAGGTGTACAGTGACAGGTGTACAGTGACAGGTGCATAGTGACAGGTGTACAGTGACAGGTGCAGAGTGACAGGTGTACAGTGACAGGTGCATAGTGACAGGTGTACAGTGACAGGTGCAGAGTGACAAGTGCAGAGTGACCGGTGTACATTGACAGGTGCATAGTGACAGGTGTACAGTGACAGGTGTACAGTGACAGGTGCAGAGTGA